ACGTGGAGTGATGAAGCGGCTGGGGACTTTGGACCCAGAGAGGGAAAGGGTGAAGAAAATATTGCCATGAAAAAGTACCGTTCTTGTGCTTTCAACCTCTGGAGCAACTAGAATTGGGTCTGAATCTGTCTCTCCTTGTAAATTCAAGAATCTACTCTTGTAATGGCCTTGCCATTTCAGAAAGCACCTCATTTAAGGTAGTTAGTGGTTTTCTACTGCCATACTCAAAACAAACCAGGCAGCATCATGTCAGACAGCCTTGTCAAAAGACTTCTTCTTTAACAATAGCTCTTACAAAAACCAGCTACATTTTATTAGACTCACGGAACACAGAATGCTACGTTTACCAGGTGTACTTAGAGGAAGTATACAAGTTCTTGGATAAGTGAAGAACCCTTACCTGTAAAGAATGTACCCATACTAATGGAGTCTTGGTGTGGCACTGGAAGATAAGCACTGGACTAATAACCACAACGTTGGCAGTTCAAACCCACCAGTAGTTCCTTGGAAACCTTTTATAGGGTTGGTTTGGATTGGAACGGACTCGATGGCACTTAACAACAATGTCATATTTTAACAAAAGGAGACTAAGATATTTCTTACAACAGTATTGAAGATGACACCCTACCATGTAATTAAAGGCAACAGCTTTAATTCTGTTTAGACACTAGCCTGACGGTTGTGTTCTGACAAGTCAAGGTAAATAGAATGTAAAGGAGAAATAGTAACAGCTGAAAGTGCATGCCTTTAGCCTGCCTAAACTGATAGACAATTTCTTTTATTTTTTAAATATTGGTCACTAGGTTAGGGGGAAAAAAGGATCCATAATAGCCTCATGAAATAACCAAAACAAGTACAGAGGGAGTCCTGAAATGTAGGAAAATGAAAGCTGGCTATAAATAGAAAGCACACATCCTGTTTCTTGCCATAGAGTTTTGTCTCAAACTACCAATCAACTTTTCAACACATCCTGCAATAGCAGCTCTACTATAAATCTCGTAGTAACTGACTAGCTTTCATTTCCTCTGCCCAAACCTGCTAACTGCTAAGGCATGACATACTGACACTAGAGTCAGCAAGTGATAATGTAAGACAGGACTCCAGTGAGGCAATTCCAAAGACATTCCAAACTGGATGAGGGCAAACGCTGGCTAACTTGGCCTTGGAATCCCAAAGGATAACACATGCGTGTGCACACGCACACACAAGCCCAGGTTCTACTGGGACCAGATTTTCTACCCACAGGGCACTGAGAATAACGACACAGTGCCAATCATCGCTCCTCTCTACTGGAAAGAACTGGTCCCAAACGTCAGATCCTCTGCCAAAACCACATTTACTTAGCCTGATCTAAAAGCTGTAACTTTAAGTAGAGTTGCTAGTGAAACTCCTATCTTGAATCTTCTCTGAACATTGCCACGAAAAACAAATTCCAGTTGATGCACAGATGAATACAGGACCATCTGCTGTTAAACTCTAACAGTGAATAGTATTTCTACGTTAGTCACTGAAGGAAAAATTCTATCTCCTGGGAACAAGACACTACTATGTCAATATTGAAAGCATGGCAAGGTAAGAGTCATTTAAGGAATATTTAGTTTGTAGTTTGGGTCCATGAAATAAATTCTCTACCAATATCCAAATAGACCTCATACCATTTTGTGGTTTGTGGGCCTGGGTTGTGAACAAACATGTAATCTCTGAACCCACCACTTGTCTTTGAGCCTATCATATTGTGGTAACTTAAGTGTTACCATGACATTGGAAGCTATGCCACCAATATTTGAAATAAATACTAGCAGGGCCACTCACGGTAGACATGTTTCAGCAGAGTGTCCAAACTCTGGAAGACAGACAAGGTAATGTACTTCCAACAATGACCCAATGAAAACTCTATGGTGTGGAGCAGAACAGAATGTTGTCAGACTGGACTCAAACATACCAACAATTGTGAAGATGGCATAGGACTAGGTATAGGATGGCCATGAGTTAAAGCTGACTCAATAGCATCGGAAAATAATTAACAATCCATGGAGATCAGTAGAGCAGTTTTCTGCAAACCCTGTATAATTCCCTGCCATCAAGTTGTTTCCAACCCATAGCCACCCTGCTGAGGGTTTCTGAAGCTGTAAATCTTCACTGAAGCAGAAAGCCTCAGCTTTCTCCTGCGGAGTGGTTGGTGGGTTTCTAAGCTGCAGATTTGTGGGTAGTAGTCCACTATTAATCCTACAGCAACACAAGGGCCAGAGATGCTCATCAGTGAAAGATAATGAAAACCAGAAAAAAAAGGTCATTTAAAATGACGATGAAATTAAGTAGCAAATAACCACAAAAAGCTACTAAGATTATGTTGAAACAAACCCACAAACTACCAAAACCAGTTCACAGAATATCTGACAACGTTAATTATACTTAGGCTGTAACTTCAACTATGACATGAATTTTCAAAAGAAAGGAAGAACCACTCACTCACTGTGTTAGCATCATACGACATTCATCACTTCAAATGGGACTTCTGAGGCATAATCATAGAAGGCAATTTTTACAGAAAATAATCAATGGCATTATCAGTTTTCTCAAGGGCCTCAGTCATGTGATGGTCACA